GGCCCCTGCGCTCTGGCCAGCGGTGCCGCTGCTGAAGCAAGGACCACTAGACTCAGGAACAGCTTCTATCCCACTGCAGTGTGCATCCTCAACAGCAGCTCACTGCAGGGCCTCAGACTCAATGCACTTATCTGCACTTTCTGCATGGTCTGCCATGTTTTTTTCCACTACTACATATTTATTGTTCTCCATAACATATTTATTGTTCCTGTTGTTATTATTTATTATGTTTGTGATGTACTGCCTGCATTGTGTGGTAGGTGTACATCTAGGTAGGTGGTGTTGTCTGTTGTACTGTGTATGTCCTGAATGACCACCACGAATATAAACTCCTCCACTACTACTACTCTACTAGCAGTGGCTGCTGGTCTCTGTTTTACTTCCAATTGGACTTCAAATTAGCTTCCACTCCTGCCGCTGTCTCGTGTTTCACTGTAAACGTCACGCCAGGCCGCCAGGCGGCGGTATTCCGACGACAAGCTTTTTAAATGTGGTCAAAGTCGCGTTAGACGATCGCAGAGTTGAGGATCAACGGAAAGAGTTGCGGTCTGTTCAGGCCTGATCAATTGAGAGGGGTTACGGGAGTCGTGCAGGTACTGTGCGGTGTTCAGTTTTTAACTATTCTCTCATTTGATATAGCTGCCTAGCGGACGCTTTTGCCTGAGATGATGTGCGTAACATAGTCAAGTCTGAACAGTGAAGTTTCTTGTGTTATTGGACAGTTAAGATACACTGTGTAGCAGACGGAGCGGTCTAAATAATAATGTGTCGCCCCGACCAGTTCATCCGTTCGCAGGGACAGAAGTGGACGGCGCTTCTGCACTAGGAGAGCGGGCTGAGGGGCTCCGTCGCCCCCGAGGTCGGAAAGGAGCTCAGGGCCGGAGCCAGGTCCCGCTTCGGTTCTCAGGGCAGCTTCTGCAACTGAGCTCGATCTCACTTTGACAGAAGCCAAACGGCCATTTCTTGAGACACGTGACAACAACATCGGTCAGACGTTTAGAGTAACGTCTGTTAATTAGTCATTAATGTTAGTGTTTCGTTATTGTGTCCGCAGGGCAGATTTAACGCCGCGGTTTCTGATGAAGGGGTGAAGAGTGAGGCGTATTCACAGTATGTCCCGTTCACAAGCCGATGCTGAATTTAATATACTTTCTACAGGCGTAGGCTGCAGAGGAAATGCTTTAAAGTCTTTCATTGTAAACTCAGCTTTAAAATCCCTTCCTGTGCCAGGTCACATATATCCTAGCTACAGTACGTGCTGTCTAATTAGATTAACTGGGTAAGCTTTATTTTGTGCTGTTTAGCCTTTGTCACAGCGTCGTTCCTATCCTTCTGGTGAGGTGCTAGTCGTTAGCATGTGCTGAGATTTGAGCTCACAAGCGAGACCTGTGGATGGAGCTTTACAGTCGGCTGCCCCACCTGCACTGAAGCAGCAGGGAAACTGGAGACTCACTGCACAGCCTGCAGATCCACTACAGGTGTTAGGAGCTGCAGGCTCTCGTCTCTGGGTCTTCCAGGGATAGATTGGCACAAAATTAATGTGATCTTGCCTTTCTGGTTCATGGGCAGTGCAGTTTGTAGCAGTGCAGCTCTTTAAAGCTCTGCTGTGTGAGGGAGCAGAGCAGCCCAGCTAACCTGCACAGTGCAGCTGCCTGTGGAGCCAACTGCTTCTGCAGCAGGACAGCTGTTGAGCTGTAGTGCCCACCCAGCTGTAGTGGTGCCTTGTGTCCTGCAGAGAGCGCCATGGAGCGGGGGCTGAAGGTGAAGATAAAGCAGTGGAATGGCGTCGCCTCCTGGCTGTGGGTCGCCAATGACGAGAACTGTGGCATCTGCAGGATGTCCTTCAACGGCTGCTGCCCTGACTGTGAGTCCGGCCGGCGGGGAGGGGGGGTGTGTGCGAATTCAAGGCTCTGTAAGGGGAGGGGGATGGCCAGGACTGTGGAGCAGTGGATTGTGGGCCCACGTCCCGCGTTCGCGTCAAGCGCAGGGAAGTGTGCTTGAGCCTGAGCAGCAGGGGGCGCTCTGCTCACGACCGTCTCCGTCTGTTCCCAGGCAAGGTGCCCGGAGACGACTGCCCTCTGGTGTGGGGCCAGTGCTCCCACTGCTTCCACATGCACTGCATCCTCAAGTGGCTGAACTCCCAGCAGGTGCAGCAGCAGTGCCCCATGTGCCGCCAGGAGTGGAAGTTCAAGGAGTGAGGAGGGGCTGCCGGGCGGTCCCGGCCGCGACAGGACGTCTGCCCGGCGTGCTCTTTGCTTGCTCGAGTGACTGTTAACTGTGTAGTTTACCCGCCTGCCAAGAAGGCCCAGACCTGGAAGAAAGCCTCCCCGTGTTGCTGACCTCTGTGCGGGAGGGTGGGGCAGTTCAGCCAGAGGCGTCCTGCAGCAGAGGGCAGAGAGGGAGACTCCACTGTGACTGGTCCCAGGCAATGTCCTGGTTTCACTGAGGGGGAAAAAAAACACTTGTATATTTTGTGATATGTTTTTTTTTTAATGTTTAGCATTGTGTATTTTTTTATTCGTCGCCTGCTCTCCTGGAACATCTGTTGAGCCCTGGGTGGCAGGCTCTGCAGCATTACAATAAACAGTGCGGTGAGATCAGTGTGTGTGCTGGGTGTGGTCCCTCCTGGCTCTGCACATGCTGCTCCGCTCCTGACCCCGTGACCCCGCAGGAGGAGGGGTGTCTGTGTGCAGGCGTGTGATCAGGTTTATCACTGACAGGAGTGGACTGAGGGTCACAGTATCTCCTTTGGCTGCTGCTGTTCATCAGGAAAAGCAGGCGGTGGAACACAAGGAGTCCCCTTCCCCTCAGCAACAGGGAGAGGCGAGACAAGGAGCTGGAGGGAAAAGCCATGGGGTGAGAGTATGTCAGCTTGGGGGGCTACATCACACACGGGCCTCGCGGAAAGGACAGAGACCCTGGAACATCCTGTACGGGCCAGCTCCTGCGCACGACTGGACCTTCTGTTTCAGAGCCAGAGCAGGCTGGACAGTGACGCACCAGGGGAGACCAGGGATCTCAAACAAAGAACCCCTTCAAAAACTCAAACAGCTGTAGATGCAGACTGACTTCGCAGCTCAACAGGCCAGAACGATGATGATAATAATAATAATTGCTTACACTTATACATCGCTTTTCTGGACACTCCACTCAAAGCGCTTTACAGGTAATGGGGATCCCCTCCACCACCACCACCAGTGTGCAGCCCCACCTGGATGATGCAACGGCAGCCATAGTGCGCCAGAACGCTCCCCACACACCAGCTCTCAGTGGGGAGGAGAGCAGAGTGATGGACCCAATTAAAAAAAAACAACACTTGTATATTTTGCAATATGTTTCGATGATGTGATATGATACAATCACTCGGCATGCACATGAGACCTGATGTACAGATTCGGACTTCGTGCAGCACCAAGTTCAGATAACAGAGGAAGAAAGGATACGGATGAGATGCGGCCCACCAGGCCCCCGCTCGTCCCTGCTAAGCCTGTTTAGTAGTTAATTGATCCTGGGATCTGATCCAGTCATTTCATGAAATAGACGAGTAACAGCCTCAACAGCACGGCTGGGTATCTTGATCCACTCTCACCTTTTCAAATGCTCTTCCACATGTTTTCCACTTGCCTCCTCTGGTCCGTGTTGCATCGTTGAAGTCTTGGGTAAAGGAAAGGTTCCTCTGGAGGAGCAGAAATAACTCAAGGGGAAAAGTTATTCAAGAGAAAGGGTTTAATTTGAAGTCTAAAAAAAGCCTTTTCATCTCTCGGACCACAGGAGAACAGAAATTGATTGACCTCAAGTCAACCTTTGATAGGTCTTCGTTTCCTTGTGGTCATAAAGGACCGGCTCTTTTCCTTTCAAACTCGGCTTACAGACAACTACTGTAACAAGACAAACTGACACCTGATTTTAATTTCACATATGTGCAGAGAAAACAAGACAAACGTCTGAAAAAACAACCTATTTTTACTTCTGCTACTGCATTTATGATTTTATAAAAGCAACCTGATATGACTTCATTGATGTATGAATAAATTTCCAGTCCCTCACTGCTATTAACCCACTGCAGGAGGCTGCAGGGCGACTTCTTCAGCGCCTCTGGGGGTTTCAGTGCCTTCAACCTCTCAGTGGAGGATAGTACCTTAAGCCCCAGAATCTATCTGAATGCTCCCCTTTCTGGACGGAATCCAGACTGATTCCACAGCAGCAAGATCTTCTTATAACTTCGTGCCCAGACCTGTCCATCTTTATCTATCTGTCCCTGTACTCCCTGTACTGTGCTGTAGTGTCCAAACTGTGTCTGCTGTACTGTGCCTGTCCTGAGACATCGGTGTTCCAACAGTTCCAGTATACATTTGCATATGGCAATAAAGTCGTTTACTCTTTTGCTAACTGCTTCCTCACGGTCTGGGTCACGGGGGAGCTGGAGTCTATCCCAGCATGCAAGGGGGGCAAGGCAGGATACAGCCTGGGCAGGATGCCAGTCCATCGCTGAGCACACAGACACCAGGACTGGTTTTCTCACAGGATAATTAATCTTCATTAGGCTTTTGAGTAAACCGACAGGAACATACAAACTCCACGCAGACAGCACACCAGGCCCCAGCGCTGTGAGGCAGCAGGGCTCACCACCGCGCCAACGAAACTGTACACAATATTCTCAATGGATATTGTAACTAACTTAACTTTTTGTTAAAATGTATTTTTTTAAAAATAAAGTGCTTGGGGGGCGAAAGCCTTTATGCAACTGCGAGGAACTTTTATGACTCAGAGTTTCTGATGGACTATAATGATTAAAATCGGATTTTGTAGCACAAACTGCAGACCGTGAGAAACTATTACGGCGAAAAAAGTAAAAATACCCTCTTCACGCGCCCAGTCTCTGGAGCCGCCTGCAGCGCGGCGCATGCGTCACAGCCGCGCGGCGGCCGGAAGTTTGTGTTGTCTCCTAGCAACGCGAGGATGTCAGATAAACACAGGTTGTACCGCAGCGGATGGTCTCTTTCTTCTTATTTAAAATTGAATTTCTACAAAAACGTTTCGTGACAGACAAACGAAATCGTGTATTTTCGTCTGTATTGAAGACGTTATATTGCACATGTTTAATTTCTTCGGCGATCAGAGTTTATTGCTTGAGTTGTAGAGCTAACTGACTGTGGATCTAATTGATTTAACAAACTACACTAAACTAATATTAGCTCAAATAGGCCACCGAAATTATTCAGACATTAAGGACTTTTCGAAAACCTTTTAAAAAACAGGTAATAGGTTGTAATTAATTGAATGGTTAATTTACAATATTAATTGCATTTAATTGTAAAATTCTGTGTGAATGGAGTGGTTTCGTGAGTAAATTTAAAACCATGCTTGGATTGCACTTTTTTCAATAATTGTTATTTTGTTGTTCTCTGTCTGTGGGGGGTGTCTTTCAGCACTGACTCAGAAGAGCTGTTTTATGCGCAGGAGCAGGTGAGACCTCAAGCTCTCGGAAGACTTTATACAGTAAATCAGAGTCAGGAAACCTCTGTGTTTGCCGTGTTTGTAGGCTAACAGATGAGCTTCATCGCCTCTCCTTCTCTGAATTTATAACCAGCGCGTTCCCACTGAGAGCCAGATAAAGGTGTCTTTGGCAGGGAAGACATTGCGAGCGGAGCAGAAAGCAGACCGAACCCAGCTCAGGGACAGATTTACTGGCCTGTCTTTGGACTGGTCTTTGTCTGCAGGGTTAAGATCTCTGCTATTGTGCACAGAGAGTTTGTCATGCTCACGGTATGGGTGACAGAACTGCTTGCAGCACCTCGCCCTCTGAGCCCATACTAGAGCGTGCTGGTCTGTTGTGCACTGTGTGTTCTGGCCCTGGCTGGGCGATCAGCTCCTCTCTCTCGCCCTGCAGCCACAGATGGACAGCAAGGATGAGGGAGAGAGGGAGGGCAAGGGCCTCTCGACACTGGCTGAAGAAGAGCCTGCGCCCCTCGGCGCCCCAGAGCAGACGGCGGATGACTCTGGGGTGACAGTGCTTGCTCCGGATGAGGTGGGCCAGTGGTGTGTGGGACCAGGGGGGACCAGTTAGTTAGTTTGTGTGTGCGGGCTTGTCGGTGAGATGGTGGCTCTGTTTCCTGCGCAGGGGGAAGTGGAGGAGCGGGTGGAGTCCCAGACAGGGCCAACGGAGCAGGAGGAGATGGACGCCGGACATGGTGAGACAGTTTCCCAGCAGCTGTTAGGGGGACACAAACACACAAGGCTCAGCCAGAAGAGTGCGCAGCACTTGACTGTCCTAATTCATATTCAGCATCTAGACTGGGGTTTTGGATGGCAAAGGTTGTAAGAAATGTGAAAGAGCTTCGTTTACAGATGTTTAAAGCAGACAGCACAGCTATTACAGCTGTTCTGAAGAAATCACATGGCTAAAACCATAAGCAGGATTGAAAAACAGAGGAGGCTTTGGACTTAATTGCTTGTTTTGTGGGCAGCAGCACACACAACTTTGCAGAGCTCGCCCTGTCACTGGGGTTGAGGCTGGGGGATGTTTTCCAGCCATGAGGACAGAGTGCCACCTGATGCTCTGTCAGCAGCAGCCGGGTGTAGAGGGGAGTGGGCCCAGCTGTCTGCAGAGCCTGTGGAATTCCTGCTGTGTGTTACTGGTGGATGGTGTCGTCCCTGCCAGGGGAGGGCATGTTGAAGATATCGCCAGTGGCACCAGACTCCGTCCTGCGTCTGTCTGTCCCGCTGTCAGACAGTGATGGTGAGGAGGCTGTGAGTGGGGGTAGTGAGGAGGAAGAGGAGGAGGAAGACGAGGAGGAAGAGGAAGAGCTGGTGGTGCTGGACCCAGAGCATGTCAGTCTCTTTTCTAATTTTTTTTTTCTACTGATTAATTGATTTTGTATTGATGAATTGATTTATTGATTCCATCCCCGGTTGGCCTGTGTCTGCAGCCCCTGATGAAGAGGTTTCAGTCGGCCCTGAAGTCCCACCTCTCCCGGCAGTTGGAGAAAATCTACCTGGATGTCCGGGAGAAGGTGAGCGACCTTCAGCCTGACTACAGAAGAACAGGGCTGACAGTGGCAGCTGCAGCTTAGGATTTCTTTTAGCCTCCTGTGGTAGAACCCCTGGCTTTGTCAAACAATGGAATCCGATGTGCAGCAAATACATGGAATGTCCCCCATGGGATAATTATTTTTATTTAAGATGGATTTCTTGCCCATATAGTTTCTGTTTTGCATATGCTGTGTAGACACCAGAAAATCACATAGACCAGGCTACGATGCAGAGGTGGGAGTGCGCTTTTGGATCAGTGACCTCTCTGTGTGCCCCGTGCCCAGCTGGCGATGGAGCGAGCCGAGGTCACGCAGAGGGAGAATCTGGGCGTGGAGCTCTACGGCGTGCAGCAGGAGCTGGCCCGGCTGCAGATGGCCCTGGAGAAGAGGCATGAGACCAACGCCCAGGCCGCGATGGATAGACACTGTGCAGAGGAGGAGCTGGAAAGAGTGCGCAGCCTGTACAGAAACATTCAGAACACTGCTGACCAACACAGGACCAAGGGTGAGAGAGAGTGTGCTTAGTCTGTGCAGGATGGCCTGGCATATAAGCCGAAAGGGAGAGCGTGTGACTGGCAGAGAGCCTCATGGCGTTGCCACACACTGCTCTCCTCAATGTTCCCCAGTTGCTCAGCTGCAGACAGAGGTGGAGAACCTGGCCTTGCGGCTGTTCTACATGCAGGGTGTGAATGCAGACTTGCGCTCGGACATCACCGTCATGAAGCACGCCACGCGCAAGGCCCGGGTCGAGAAGGTGCAAGCAGAGGGGCAGAAGAAGAAGCAGGTAGGCCTGTTACTTCCCACGTTCCCCACAGGCAAATGGACTTCACAAGATCGGATCCTGTGGGTACTAACAGAGATCTGAGTCAGTAGAAGTCTTACCCTGTAGGGAAATAAAAGGAGAATAATCTTAATTTCAGCTAATGCTCTATTCCTCTCTCCTCATAAGGACCTTCTCGTGGATCGTCTGACCCAGCGTGTGCAGCAGCTGACAGAGCAGATTGCCCTGTATGAGGTTCAGATTGCCGCCCAAGCCCAGGAGACCAGGGCAGCCCAGGAGACAGTCTCTGAGGTCGGTACCCTAGCACACCTTCCTCGGTCTCTTACTCTCCTTGTCTTCACTTTTCTCCTCTCACCGACTCTTGAATCACTCATCTCATTCTCTCGCCATCTCAAACCACAGTCTCATCGGTCTGTCTTCCCCCCTGCTCCCTCAGGCTCAGATGGAGATGGACTCTCTGGCAGTGGAGAGGAAGCAGCTGCTGCAGCAGTGGAACAGCAGTCTGATTGGGATGAGGCGCCGTGATGAGGCCCACACTGCGATGCTAGAGGCTTTGCGGTAAATGGCACTGTGCTCTGCTCAGCAGCACTGCCCCACAGTGTGGTGTGCTGTAAGGCTTAACTACGCTCCTGTGTGCTGTTCCCTGTGCAGGCTCTCCCGTCACCAGGTACAGTCCCTGGATACGGAGATTGATGGCTATAAAAAGTCGATCACACACGAGGAGGAGCAGAATGAGGCGCTGACAGAGCTGCTGAACAGGGCCCAACAAGCTGGTGCAACCATGCGCAAGCTGGTCTCACACAACCTGGCGCAGCAGGAGGCGCTGAAGTCCCAGTACAGCACCTACACCCGCACCCTGCAGGAGACGGAGCAGGCGCTGAGCAGGGTCACCGCGGTGAGGCTGCAGTGCTCATAGATACATACCCCTGTCGGCTAGGCAGTGGTTGTAGTCTTTAGTCTTCAGTCTTTAGTAGATGGAGGAGGAGAAATCGTGGGAGGTACAGGAGAGCAGGAAAGAGGTTTTATAATGTGCCACAGCGGTAGAGAGATACCCTCCACTGTGCTGGTGAAACAGGAAAGTGGAGCCTGTCGGCCCTCGTTGTCTGCTGCAAGTGGAGGTGGGAGCGGCACCGGGGGCTGATGCCGCGCTGTTGCTTCTCCCCAGGACTGCACGACGCGGCAGGGCGAGCTGAGCGCGCTCAGGAAGCAGATCGAAAAAGAGTCGACGGTTCGGCTGGGGCTGGAAGAAAAGATCATGGCCAAGATGCAGGAGCAGCTGACGCACGACAAAGCGGCCAAATACTCACGGCGACTGGCGGAGAAGCTGGCCGCAAACAAGAGAGAGACGGTGAGAAACAGCTTCTCTGTCCTGTGTCCACAATCGCTGGTACTGCAGTTCCAAGCTTGTACATCTCTAGCACTTACTGTAAAACTGCATGCTCCCTATATTCTGAATGAGCAATATAATTGTTTATTTTGCTGTACATTCAAGAATTCTGTTGGCTTTATATCCCTTTAATCCCTTTTCTTAATTTTTTCTTGAAAGTTCAGTGCCTGCTATGATATCCATAGCAGACATACTGGACTCTTGTGTAGCTCTTTGCTGTGGGCCCAGTGCAGACCCCTGGGGCACTCCACTAACTCCTCCAGCTCAGAATTCCTGCAGCTTTCAGTTTAGTATCGTTATGCAGAGCTTTATCGGGAGCTTTCTGAATATAAATCTAAATGAATCTACATCATTTCAAATTAATCTCTATAAATCTAAATAAATTACATATACTGTCTGGTTTCTGCCATTTGTGCTTTTTCTGGTTTAAATAATCTAACAGGTGAAGTAAACAAGACTTGCCTTACCTGTCCACCACAAGTGAAAACTACTGCATGTGACAGTGGCAATTCCTTACCCAGAGGCTGGGGGAGTGTGGAACAAGCTACCCAGTCGTGATGTTGAAGCCGATAGTGCAGCTTCTATCAAGGAAAGCTGGGAGAGATCCTTGGATCAATAATCTCCTACCTGCCACATTAACTCATTTGTAACCTTTGTCATGTACTGATGTTTTCCCCGCTCTTGGACTTTGGTTTGGACAGTCTGCTGTCCAGGAATGTCACACGTTCCGCAGTCTCCTCGCTCTTGTGTCCGCCGTGTGCATGATTCTGTGTGTGTGCTGCAGGAGGCCCAGCTCTCGCGGCTGGAGAACGAAATCGCCCAGGTGTCGCTGGAGGGCAGCGAGGTCTCGGTACGCCTGCGCGCGCTGGAGCAGACGCTGGCGGAGCTGGAGCGGGAGGCCGCCGGCCAGCACGAGCTGGTGTCCCGCAGCGAGGCCGAGATTGCGCGCCGCGTCACCCTCATCGAGCGCAAGCAGAGCACCATCAACCTCTACAACAAGAGGATCGAGCAGATCACTGCCAGCACTGGGGTCAGCACTGCACACACCCCGTCTCACTCTCATTCCTCACTTGTTTTTTTCTTGTTGTTTTCTTTTAAATTTGCTTTCTTCTTTCAAGAGCTTCTAGGATAATTATCAAGCTTACAATTTTTAATCTGACAAAACCGTTTTTACAAATATCCTGACTTTATTTATGTCTCTATGCACTTCCTAGGCGTGTCTGTGTTAGTGCTCCGTTAAAGAGCTTGTTGTTTGGTGCTTGTCAGATTAAAGAGATCCAAACCCAGAGAGATGTACTAGGGGCTTGACAAGCCAAAGCTGCCCCTGTCCTGTGTGTGACAGACTCTACCCTGTCAGTAAGTGGCATCTTGTGTGTACGAGCAGCACGAGGACCTTGGCCCGCTGGAGATCGAGGCGAGCACGCTCAGTAAGCAGCTGGAGGAGGTGGGGAGCCAGACGGCGGAGCTGCAGCAGTACTGGCTGCGCCAGGAGGGGGAGCTGGTGAGGCTCAGCCGGGAGCGACAGGCCCAGGCCACAGCGCTGCAGACCTTCCGCAGGCAGCTGACCATCCTGCAGCAGAGGAAAGTGCGCAAAGAGAGTACGTCCCCTCCCTGGCTCACGTACACGTGGACAGGCTGACCGCAGCCCTGCACCTGCGCTGAATATAGAGAGATTCCAGTGGTCATTGCGAATACACTCGGGGAACATTGTGTCCTACTCTCATCAAGCCAATTAGTGGTCAGTTTAAACCAGTTGTAACTCAGGTGGACTGAAGATCAGAAGACCTTTGTGGCTGTTGCAGATCCTGTCTGTCCTTGCAAAGGTTTGCCTTGCACTGTAATAAAAAGTCATACAGCTCAGTGAACTCACGAGAAAAGCATAGTAGAGCATCAAGAGGTATGAGAAGCTAAAATCTTGGGGGGACGAGTCAGGCTTCACAGTCAGCCAGTAAATGCATGTTACAATCATGGGAAGCTCTTAAGAATCCATGCAGCTTTACCCTTGTGAACAGCAATGTCCCGTTGTTCCCATGTCTGAAACGTGGCTCTTGCAGGTGAGATCCATCAGGAGCGGCAGGAGCAGGGCGAGCTGGAGCGGCACATGAAGAGCCTGGCAGCCGACATGCTGAAGCTCAACACGCTGCTCAGCCAGAACAGCAGCATGAAGGAGGTGCTGCAGCAGGGGAACAGCCTCATGGAGACAGAGTTCCTGCACAAGCTTAAGGTCAGGTCAGACTGAGTGGTGCCATTTATACCCCACCCCTATCCCAAATACTGTC